ATGACATTTGTTTAACTTTTAACATTTATATATATATATATATATGTTTTTCCTTGTCTTCATAATAAATGAGTGGTCAAAATATTTTAAACATAGTACTCCAAATTTAAAAAAAAAAAAATTGATTATTCAACTCTTTAATCAAACTTCATTTTCTTTAGGGTGTGAAAGAAATTGAAGTATATTTAAAAGAATACACACCAAAAAAAGGAATATATTAGAGCATTAAAAGTAAAATGATTTTGTCTATGTGCATTACAATTGGCAATTAAAACATAAGTACTTTATTTATTTTTTATAACAATAGCATATGATTTATCCTTTTATATATATATATATATATATATATTTATCTTGAATAATAGAAATGTGAATATTAAGCTTCATTCTTTAAACGTAGATGTTTATGTTTTTTTTTTTTTATCTTTATCTTGAATAATATGAAGAATAACAAAAAAAAAAAACTTACTTTTATCCTATTAATTATGAAAGTATAGACAATATTGAGAAATGAGTTATAGAAGAAGATGATTCTTCAATTCTTAACTATGATGAGTTAGAGAATATGAATTATAATAATAAAATAATGTCAATGTTATAACTTAAAAAGGAAGGTCAATCACTAATTAAACCAAGTTTAAGTAACTAACATTATTTTTATATTTTCATTGTAATATGCTTATACCATTATGTGATTATGTGAATTATGTTATTGGTTATGTAAGTGCTAATTATAAGTTATTCATTTATTTTATGATTTTATAGTTTCAACTTTCAAGATGACACACAAAACAGTTATAAAAAGTGATAGGTGGTAAACGAGGATCCTTACATATTGGTGCTGTAAATGGAGGGAATGACTTAGAGTAAATTAATGAAGAAAATGGTGATAGTTATGATAGTAAGAATGACTTCCATGAACATGATGCTTCATTTGTATATTAATTCAATGTTTGACATATTATGTAATTAGTTTTGAATCTTGTATTATACTATTATTTATCTCTTTAGTTTTTTGACTTATATTAATTAGTTATTTGGTTTTTAGCCTTTAGCGCTTGTATTACTTATCTATATATTTGGTTTTAAAACTAGTGTTTTGTATATATTTTGTTTAAATATTTAATTCAATATTGTTGTATGAATTTGCATATTTTTTGTACCATCCATTTATGTTGGAAATTAGTATAAAATGCTAGATATTGAAAAAAGAAATATCAAATATAACTAAACTACTCAAAGAAATATCATTTTCTAATTGAATCAGTCAACTAATTGGTTGGAGTGGTTAAACAATTCAAAGTAGTGATTAGGGACCAAACCGATTCGATCTTTGGTCCAAGTTTTAAATCATTGTTTGGACAATGAATTTTTAAATACTCATGGTAGTGATGCAGATATGATGAAGTTATAGAGGCAAACAAAAGAAAACAATAGTTCAGAACACATTCTAAAAAGCAATCTACACATGAGTAAAAAGAGAATATGGATGAAGTAGCAATGTAACTGACAAGACAAAAATGGGTAATGTACAAGAGTAAAGGGAAACAATGGACATTGAAAGTGATGAAGATTTTAGTTCTAACTCCACTGAAGACAATAAAAATAGTGAAGATACACTGCAAATCCTAAATGATGATCCTAGTTAATGTTTAAATGATATGTGGAAAAATGATCAAGATTTTGCTTGGAAAAAAAAGAGTACAGATCTGTGGCATGATCCAAAGAAACAAGATATTTGATTTAAGGTTAGTATGAAGTTTTCTAATGTTGCAAAGTTTTGTGTTGCATGTTTTAAATACATAGTGTAGAAGGGATGTCAACTTCATTGGAATAAAAATGAGCTGAGAAGGCAATATGTTATTTGTCAAGGAAAGGGTTACAAGTAAAGAATGTTTCTATTGTTAGGAATGAAAATTCTTTCCAAGTCAAAATCTTATATACAAAGCCTACATGCATCCCTTTCTTACAAGGTAAGATGATTACTAAGAGGATACTAAGTAAGCATCACAAGAATAGAATCATGGCCAATCCTCATATTTGCATTGGTGAGATTAACAAGCTTGGAGTTGCTAGTCAATGTTTCCAAAGCAAAATGTAAATACACAAGAAATCTAATTGTGAGAGAGATTAACCAGCAGAATGTCGTAGAACTTAGGCAATTAAGAGGGTATTGTGAAGAGGTTTTAAGACTATCCCCTGCACTTAATATCAAGATAAAAGTGAGCAAAGATAATCCTAATTTGAAGCCACAATTTAAGAAAGTGTATGTTTGCCTTGGAAATTGTAAGAAATGGTTTATTCTTGGTTGTAGAAAAGTGATTGGAGTTTATGCATGCTTTTTAATAGGGCATTTTAAGGGAAATATATTAGTTGTTGTTGGGAGAGATGAAAACAATCAAATATTCCCCATTGCTTGGGCTATGATTAAGGGGGAAAACACAAACTCATAAAGGTGGTTCTTTGATAAGTTAGCTTATGATCTTAGTAATCACACCAGATAAGCATTGACTTTTATCTCTAATAAGCATCCAGTAAGTTATTAATTCTAAATTTTTTTTAATATGTTTTTTTTTTCAATTGATGAATCTTTTATATGAGTTTACATTTACAATGTATGTAAGCTAATTAGTGCTAGGCAAACTGTGTTTAAATAAGTAGTTCATAAGTATTGTGCAAGGCATATTTGCTAATTGAGGAAAGATTTTTAGAGGTCATAAGTACAAGAAGAAGTTCTAAATTGCAAGTAGATCAATCTTTGAAAGACATTCATTCAAAACATGGAGAAAATCGTGGGGATGAGTCAAGGTGCATATGATCTTTACATGGAAATGCCTCCACAATTTTGGTAAGCATCCCCAAGTGTGATGTCATAGATAACAACATGAATGAGACTCTCAATTCTTGGATTTTACAAGGCATTTGTCCATAATCCAATTGTTGGAAGCCATTCAAATCATGGTCATGAAGAGGATTGTAGAAAAGAAAAATGAGATGCATAAATGGAACGAAGATATTGCACCAACAATTATAAATAAACTCAAGAAGTTTAGGCAAGAAAGTTTCAAATGCAAAGTTGAGTACACTGGGTAGAACCACTTTGATGTTAGGGAGTTTAAACAATACTTTGTTGTTAACATCAAGGAGAAAAAGTGTAGTTATAGGGTTTGGGACATAATTGGCATCAAATGTAGTCATGCTATCTATGCAATCAAGCACAGAGATTTTAACTTAGGGAATTTTGTTTCTATTCAGTATAAGAAGGAAAAGTACATGCTAACATTTAATGTGCCAATCAAATCTTGCAATGGTGAGCTGTTTTGGCTCAATTTCACTTGTGATGAGTTGAAACCCCTTCCAATAAAAAACAAACTTGGGAGGCCTCAAGTGAATAAGAGGAAATCCAAAGATAAGCCACAAAAGATATCTAAAGGAAAGCTTAAGAGGTTTTCTAGAAGTGGTGCAAAAATAACTTGTAGTATTTGTAAAGAACAAGGCCACAACAAGTCAAGATATCCAAAAAAGCCTCCATATATAAGAACGTTACTACTCAATCAATTTCATGCATTTTAATTGCGATTTAAAATAATTTTTTTCAATTTTTATTATATTATGATAAATGTGTTTATATTAGATTGTTTATGTTAAATTTGAATTACTCTTTAATAGATATTTAAAAAATCAATTAAAAATTTATTAAAAGTTTTTCTAAGTTTATTGAATATTTATTTGAGAATTTAAAAATGATTTATTATTATAATAATTTTATATGTAATTAAAAAAATAAAGCAATGCTTTTGAGTTTGAGTGGGCACCACATGCTAATATTTCATGGGAAAATGTGAAATCTGAAAAATCATTCTTGTATATTTAGACTATTCCAAATGTTACACTTATCTTCACAATTTATATTATTTGATTTCATTGATATTTACAAATTATAAGAGAAACTCTCCTTTTTAATGAAAAACTCAAGTGAGACTCCTCATGAAAATGAATTACACTATTCAACTCACATTCCTTAATTTTTTAGGTGAAAAGAATTGTGGCCATTTGGGAGCTGTGTATCCATGGGGTGTCCCCATGGGTGGGTGGGGATACCCATGGGAACACTTGAATGGAGATGATCTAAGTTTTAAAGTGAGGCGAGTATGTAGTCATACAATCACGAGTAGAGCATCGAAAGTTGGCGAGTGCAACTAGCAACTCCCTCAAGTAATATATCCTTTTAAAGAGCAATTTCTTGCATCATAAAAACCACCCTCTATATCAGTTGAATTTTAATAAAAATAAGTCCATCCATTACATTTATTAGGACAATAATTTAAATAATTTAATAATAATTTTCTTTCAATTAAAGTAAAATGTTAGAAGTCTAAGTTGTACGACATACATGTGCAATAACTTATTTGATCGGAGAAGATTGTTTCTCATCCAAAGAATTGATGGTTTGGACATTGTACTTGTCATGCAAGTAGATACCTTTCATCCACCCATTGGCTAGAGGACCACTTGAGTTTGAACTAAGCATTGTGATATTAGGAAACATTACATTGCCAAGTCCTCTGATCTCTCATGTTAAGATTAAATGGTTAAATAAGCGCAATTACTAGTAGTGACAATCAACTTTAGAGTAATTTTTTTTATGTTGTTACATAGTTCTATTGAAATCCTTGTGACATCTACTATCATTTAGAGGTTCATAATTGTCTTATTTATAAGGAACAATTAGCTTTATTATATATTAGTTTCCTAGGTCTTTTTTAACTCCTTTATATTTCTTATATGAAATACATGATGAGGTATAACCTACATTATAATTATTTCAATTATTAACACAATTATACTTTCTATCAAAATAATGATAGTAATAATAAAATTTTAAAAATAAAATTTTAAAAATAAAATTCCTATCCATTAATTATCCATTAGCTGAATCATAACATAAATAACAAAAGTAAAATTTGCGAACAAACAAAATTTTGTTGCAATTTGGGTGTTTGGCCTTTGAAATTATATTATTTCCATTTCTCTCGCTTCTCCAAAGCAAAGGGCAAACATAAATATTCTGCATTTTATTGCTTTTACAATATGTTGAGAAAATATGGGGAAAATGTGCACTATTGAGAATGTTTACAGAGACCATACATTTGCATGGGGCTTGTCATCTGAATGGTTCAACTGGGGCAGTCTCTTCGAGAAATGCTGCAGCCTCGAAACATTCAGCTGCTTCTTGCATGGACAATGCTGTGCCTTCAGATTTGCAAAGCAAGCCAAGATTATACCAAGCCACCGGGTTCATTCTATCATATCGGAGGGCATTCATCAGCAAGCTTCTGATGATTGAATTTGACCTCGCCCCAAGTTGTTTGAGAATGTCAGCTGAGGATACCAGACTAGGGACGTGAGCAGGATCAATATCTAAAGCAGTCTCAAAGGCTTCTAATGCTTCTTTGAGGAGGCCCTTTCTCTTGTAAAGCACACCTGCAAGAATGAAGCAAATTTGAAATCCTTCAATTACATGTTTCTACTCAGGCATCATGACACAAATTAATTGAAAATGTAAAATCAAATAATGGTTAATTCAACCAAGCCCTTCCCATTTCCTCTTTCTGCCTCTTATTTTCCCTTTTTCTAGCTTGATTATCAATTAGGAAAAGGAAACAATTAAGTCATGTTTTGAATAAATCTATGAAACTATTGAGGGTTTACAATCTTAGCTGACATTAGCATCTCAAGGCAAGAGAAGGTGATAAGAATGATTGTGACCTTACCGATGGCATGAAACCTAGTAGCAGAGTAAAAGCTGATGGCTTTGGATTTGGAAAGACAAATCTCAGCATCCCACCACCGTGATATGCTTATGTAGAGATAAGCCAGATCATGCCATATATCCAGTTCTAAACTTTTAGAGGAGTTTGTGAGGCGCTGCCATAAATTTATACAAAAAGGTCAATTGTTGGAAATACCAGTTTCCAGGGAATGAGTTTTCTTTGGGAAAATAATGCCTGAAAGAAAGCAGTGTAATCCAACTGCAAACTCTAGTATAATTTCCAATAAACAAAGAGCTCAAATTAAATTCTAAAAATAAATACAACCACCAAAGAAATTCCACCCTCT